AAAAAAAAAAAAAAAAAAAAAAAAAAACGTCCAGAACAGGTTTATCCTGCATATGTTTCACTGAATGTCCAAATTAAGGCGATCGTAAATTCGAAATTTTGTATTTTTATTTCACTTTATTTTTAATTATTTATCACTTTAGTCATAGAATTTGCTGTTAAGCTGAATAGGGTTCATTGTATTGCTGTGTAATTAAGAAAGAAAAGTCCAACAAATTGGCTAGATTTCTAACGGTTACTCATGCTGGGACGTATACAGAAAGCTAGCCAATTTTGTTATTACTTATTACGCCACCGTCGAGCACCGCGGGCTCAACTCGAGCGCGGAAAGAGTTTTTGTTCCGCGAGAGTAGCGAGCAGACTAGCAGGAAAAAAGTGTATATCACAAACAAATTCTGTCTCACCTTGTCTGGACTTTATTCACCATTAAATTCCTTTACAGCAGAAAGATTATTGAGCTTCAGATTGCTCTTGTTTCATACAATTCATGTACAATGAAATAGCTTCCTAGAAAACTACAGCTTTTCCAAAAATACTGTTGTATAAGCTTTATATAGCACTAGAAAATCTATAAATACCCACGCGAACTTTACTTCAATTTACTTTGCCTCACTTTCCTTTAAGTAATTTAAATTAATTTTTATAGGACCCTAAAATTACTTTTCCAAAGAGAAACAATTTTATAACGCTAAGCAAAACGATTTTTTTTCCAAGGCCTTTTTATGAAAGCACACTCTAAACTTACCATTATTTGAACAACCTAAGTTAAAGGTGCTCAGCCACGATGTTTGGTCTTTTTTTGACCACGTACGAAATTTCCTTTAAGTGGAAGGAAACCTGAAAATAATAGTTTACCAAGATAGAAAAACATCAAAGAGATAACAATAAACCATAAAGGAACAAGGATGGTCACGGATGACGAAGATTGACACGGATTGCAAACGACGAATTTAAAAAATTTAGGCTAAACTTTTCAAAATGTGCAAACCGTGACCGAGCTCCTTTAACACGCTCGAAGGAATTTTTTCGTTACACCTGTGTTTATGTACTATTTAGTGAGGTCGCTGACCTACAGACTGATCGAACCGTAGGCCCAGTCATTAATTTTTGATCAGTAAGCTTTAGGGTTTGTCTGCTAAAGAGAGCGCAATGAAAGAGAGCCAATACCCGCTTCTTCATCAATTCTTTCGAGTTAAAACCGTCACCATGGTTAGAGCCATAGAACAGAAGTCTAACCCCTTAAACATGGCGCCAACTATTACAAACAATGCACATAAGTTACAGGGCGTTTCTAAGTTACTGAAAAACTACGTCAGTTCAGTTACAAAATTTCTTAGAGCAACATTGGGCGACGATAAAAAAAAAACCCTGAGAATTAACTTCGTTCACATAATTTCCTTTTTTAGCACTTTAACTGTTTAGAATGAAATCTTCAATGGGAAAGAACCGAAATTTTCACGTCTTTCATATTTGCACGAGTACTTATGCTCGGCTCCTAAATTTAACATCAAAATGGAATGAAGAGGGGAGGGGAGGGTGGTAGACATAAATACTATTCGTGGTCGTTTTTAATGGAGGAATAAGATTGACTGCCGTTTGCATCTGAGTTGATCCGCTGTTTCTCTTCCCTCCATGCCAAATCAATCGCTTCTTGGTCTGCTTTTCTCAGTCCGCTAAAACAAAAAGAAGAATCCCAATGTGAGATGACCGATGCAGTCATTTTAAAATTTTCTCAATTTGGATATTTTGTCCTTTTTAGCGGTATATGGCTTTTTGGTTCTTTAGGATAACATTATTTTTGATTGATCCTTCGTCCTGTTGGTCAGCGGTACGGAGGGCCTTTTGTAGGCGCTCCCCTCCTGCTGGTCGCTGACCAATAGGAGAACAGTGTTTCATGCAGTGGTTTAAAGGCTTCACTCACTGCCTTTATTTGACTACATTTTTCACGTTTCTATTGTGATATACCGGAGACACTTGTGAAAATTTGTGAGAACTCCAAACAAAGCCGTGGAAACAGACTTCTGCAGTACATGTTCCCACATCACTTCTGGGTCATTTCTCATGATATTCTTTTACTGAATATTTAAGTCCGCTCATTTTTCTATAACTAGATAGGTGTTTTGAATAAAGCTGTTGAGTGAAGCACTTAAATAAAGAACTGTATGGAGAGTCTGAATGGGGCTTGAGTGATAGCATAGAATTGGTCCTGCAATATTTGAACCGTCAGCAATTGAGAGCTCAGATCCAAGATCTGTAAAATTTACTGTTAACTGAGAAATAGGCAGAAATTTCATCTGATAGACGTGAGAAATCACCGAAAATTTAACGGATAACGTAACTGAGCACTTTCTATAGTGTTACATAGAACCCTTACGTACAACAGAATCATACTGAAATTGTGATTACTCACGCGCCATCGTCATCGACACCTTGACTTTTATTAAATGGGCGTGACGTCACTGGACTCCTCTTCAGTCTATCGTCTGGTTTTTCTCCGACATAGTCGTCATCGTAGAAGAATCCAACAACCCTAACGGGCGGAGGGAAGGGAAGAAACGAGGTAAGTACAAAGAGCATCGAGGGAGACGTTACAGACTGGAAATGAATCAAAGGAGAGTGCACTGGGCCGAGTCAAGTAGAGGGCTTGTCACTCGCTTGTCACGCGCTGCCAACAGCTGCTAACCTTGTTTTTTTTTTTCGTGATTTAAATTAGCAACGTTTCCCGTATACGCGCGAAAAGGGCTATTATGACACCACTGACAATGGGGCAGTTATCAGAATCAAACATTAAGTCGAGGCCGTTTAGTGCTTTCGCTGTTAGTGAACCTGTTCGCAACCAATATAATAAGCGGCAGATTGCCGGCTAAGGACCGATGATGGTTGTTGTAGTCGCACCAAATTCAAATGATGACTAGGTTGTATGTAGTGTCACACAAGTGGAAAGTAAAATTAACACGTTCAAATTTCCACTAATCCTAAGTAAAATTACCCCGCGCAACAGAGATCCCTTCTTTTTCATCTCAGGGAGAGAGGAGGGGAAATTCTCCGTTGTGCAAAAACTAGAATGTTTGTTACTAAAGAGGCAAAACGACAAAGATGTTGTCAAAAGGACTTTGATACTCGCCTCAGGCAAACCTACATCGCTATATTTCTACTCTCCAGAACACTACAGATATCAGTTTTCATTTTTTCCTCCTAACTCAAGATTTAACAAGAACATGAAATATTATTTTTCTTGTTTGACATAAGAAATAAGATGATAAAAGATTTTGTAAATTGGGGTTAATATATTAAATAATTTTGTAAGGACGTTATGTAGAATTTTGATGACATCTCTTCGTATGCAAATACTAAGGAAATACGGTCTCCAGTTTTTTGATAAACTACAAGGCTTTGATAAGTTTACGATCTAATCAGTTCGCTCCAAGGCAACTTTTTCACAATTTTGTGTTTCCGAACCTTTTAAAATTTTAGCCGATAAGCATAAGTCGACTTATGTAAACAAACTTAAAAGCGACCCAGAGTGGTAAAGGAGCGAGGCGCAAAGTTCTCCCCCAAAATAAAAGATCTACATTTGTATTATATACAGATACGAAATATAAATTGAATTGCAAATTGTACTCTTGCAGTCTAGTCTTCTTTAGTACCGGGAAGGAAATCATATTTACGACATAAATAAGTTCTTGACGCGTTTTAGACCTTAACCAAACAAATGCCTGTTGTTAAAAGGTTTGGAATTGTAAAACAAAAATTACTGAGCTATTAAATGTGTTTATTGAAATATTTCGAAAGAAACCTGAATATTTGCAAGTGAAATTTCCTGCCCTAACGGCTTGAATTGTCCAAAATGAACAAGCTAAAAAATATTCTTTCAAATACTGTCTTTTCTCTTCTTTGCTTATATTGATTAGATGACTTTACAATTGCTTCGGAGTGACATTTTTCACGCGCTTTCAAACAATGTGCCATTTCTCGGCAAAATACAGCGATGTCTGAACGAGAGGTGTATAAATTAAAGCGATTAACGATCTTCAAGGTAATTATGGCCATTTTCATGAGCTGATTTTAAAAACCGCGCCAACATCCATCGAACATTTTCATCTTCCTTTAAAAAGCCATGAAGGTTCCCGAAAACCATGTTTATAAAACTTTCAGAGTAATCCAATATGACTATAAAGAAACAGACATATCCTCATCTTCCATGGGGTATAAAATGGTAATAAGCGATCCAAACGGCAAAGACTATTTTGCTTCATAAAAGCAAATTCTGATTTTTGACTTCCAATATCCTATATATAATTTTTTTAAAAAAATTCTACACATTCCAACTAAGGCTTGAAGCAATGTTGAAGCCCCGAATATCAATTCGATGCGTTTGTGACGTGGATGTTTGAGAATACTTGAATAGAAAACAAAACAAATCAAACTTTGCACAGTGAACAGTACAACAATTATGAAATAGAGAGCAATTCTTCTCGCATCGAGAAACTCTTCTCTTAACGAGAATTTATGTTCCACTACTGTTAGTGCCCGAACTCGAGATTGTCGCGTGACGGGCCAAATGTTTGGAATTAACTGATCAAATGAGCCCGCTCAGTGATAAGAAGCTGTAAGACCAAGTGATCAACTCGTAAAATTGACTGCAGCTTTTTAACAGTAGGTTTTTCTAAAGGAAATAGAATATTGGTGGCGTTAAACTGTCTTAATGTTTAAAAGGTTTTTGTAGGTCAACTGTTCATCGATAATTTTCAAAATATATTTATCGATGACTGAGAGAGATGACTCTTTAGTTGCTTGACACATTACTTACTGTGTTCCGTCCTTCTTTACAAGTTCACCGTAGCCATGCCTCTTGCCTCTTCTCCACTCGCCAACGTACACGTCTCCGTTGGAGTACTTGTACATGCCTTCCCCATCGTCCGGCGGCGCTGCGTTCTCCGCGGACTTCTTCGGATTAACCGGAGAGTATTCTTCGTCGGTAAACTCATCACAGCAGTCGCTACACATCCACCAGTCGCCAAACCAACGCTTGCAACAACGACAACAAAAGCAACAGGGACCACATTCGCAGCACCTACAGAAGTGACACTGACAAATCATACTCATGCACGACCCCATGTTGAACGGCCGAGAATTTTTCGAGCTCCTTTGCCTAAGCTACGAGATTTTAAGAGGCGCCACGATGTTCATCAATGGGAGTTGTCGAAGAGGTCGAGAATCAGCTCAGGAAAACGCGCATTTACATAAACTTGACGCGGTCTCGAAGAGGTCAGATGCATGCGTTACACATGAATTGTTAGTTAGCTATGCATGAATGCCTTGAAAAATTCAAAACAACAAGTTGTCGGCGAAGTCATCAATGACACATGGGGTTATGTATGCCCCGACACAACACAAGATTTCAATTGCCTGAAATCCAAATAACGCCCCTTTCGGTAGTTGTTTACTATTAATAGCGCTTTTAAGTGTTTTTGGAAAGCGAGGCAGAGAGGTGGGGGGATTGAGTCCATTTCACTGTTTTCTCGCTACAATTTTTTGCATACATCTAGTTTATATTGCCCACTCTTCATTCGTTCCCTACTTTAAATTACGCACATCCGCTTCCTGCTTCACGTTGTTGTCTCTGACTGCGATAAATAATAAGCCCCAGTGACTATTTTTAGCAAATCACGACGCGACGCCAAAGAGAACGTCACCAAACATAAGGTTTAATAAGTAGAACAGAAGTTCTGCACGTAGTTCTGATTTTCTGGTTAACATCTCCTCTGCCGTAATGCTCTATGTTCTCCCGTAGTATTATTCGTTTACTTCATTCCAAGAGTTTAGAAAAGGGATGCAGTGTTCTTCAGGTACGTGGAAAGGTTATCGTTTTCAATAAAAGGTATACGAAAGGGGTGACTTCTCTGTAAAAATGGTATCCGAAAGGGGGCGTTGGACCTTGGGGCGCAACCTTCCTGTATAAAACTTTGTAGAGT